TAGTTGAAGGGACAATTAGTGAACTGGAAGCTAGCCTTGAGGAGCTCACAGGATGCAGTGCAGAGAGACCCCCACAGTTTGCAAAGCTGCTGAAATGTGATTGGGACAGTGAAATGTTTACTGTGATCCTAGAAAAGGAGAATAAAGGGAATGTGGAGAAAGAATATTGGAAGAGACCATGACTAAAAAAGTTTCACAGGCACTGGGGATGTAGCTCCGCGGTAGAGCACGTGTGAGACACTGGGTTCGATCCTCAGCACCACATAAAAATAAATAAATAAAGATATTGGGTCCAGATACAAATAAAAAATATTTTAAAAAAATTTCACAATTGAAGACCTATGTCCCCAGGTGGAATAAACCATCAGAGTGCCAAGCAGGGACAATAAACCGTGTCCCTCTGTCTCCATACCTACAGAGTGAACTGGGAGGCACTGAGAGGAAGGACCTCCCGGGGAGCCAGGCGGATGTTTGAAATATGCTTGGGGGACCATTAGCGGGTGGCGTGGGTGGCCAGAGAGTAAGCTGGGCTGTGCTGGGGTCACCATCGTCTGGGTTCCTCCTGTGCTGGACTGACGCTGACAGACAGCGTCCTCCCCTCCCTTGGGCTGTCACAGGCTTGCTGTGGGCTCATAAGTTGGAGACACTGGTGCAGATACCGGATCTCCAGAACACAGAGGCACAAGTGTCCCAAACACCACTGAAGGGTCTGACCCGAGGGGTGGAGCCAGCAGGGCAGGGGAGGAGTCTTGGGGGGTATAATTTAAGTTGTGGAAGAACATGTCATGAAGGAGGAGGGGGGGGGCAGGAAGAGAGGAGGGAAGAGGATCTGGAACCTTCCGGGGAAGCTCACATTTAAGGAGCAGGAAGAAGACGCAGGCACAGGAGCCAGGCAGGGCCTTCAGAGTGGAGGAGATGCTGCCTGCCAGGCTGTGGGCCTGGGTCTGCCCTGGCCAGCACAGGACACCCATTCCCATGTGTTGTGGGCTGATGGTGGGGAGAGGGCAGGGAGGGCGGGGAGGGGTGGGGTTTTCCTGTCTCTCACCCTTCACTTACTGAAATGTCTCACCGTTCACTCTTTATAAAGTTGTCTTTTTTTGGTACCAGGGATTGAACCCAGGGATGTTTGACCACTGAGCCACCTCCCAGCCTTTTTTATTTTTTTGTTTTGAGATAGGGTCTCACTAAGTTGCTGAGGCTGATTTTGAGCTTGAGATCCTCCTGCCTCAGCCTCTGAGCTGCTGGGATTACAGGCTTGTGTCACTGCGCCTTGCACACATTTTTAAAAAGTTTTTAAAGCCTTTGAACACAGTAGAGAATATAAGACAGCCCTGTGCCCACTCTGCAGAACTTCAAAGTGCTAGTGTTTGTGATATTCCTTCAGAGGAACCCTGCAGATACGCACAATTGTACCCTCCCAGGCCCACCCCTTCTCCTCCATAGAAGCCAAATTTGGGCCTTAATCTATCAATTATGAGAAAAGGATGTTCACTTTCCAACTATGACTGGGTTTTTCCTCTCACTGTAATTCTGTCTTCATCCGTTGCCTTATTATTTTGAAGTTTTGTTATTAGATACATATAGGACTATCTTCTGGAGGAACTGCCCTCTGTCCCTATGAGATGTCCCTCTCTATCTCTGGGAACACTCTGCTTTAAAATCTACTTTCATCTTCATATGCAAGATTTATAAAAATCATATATACATATGCATATATAAGTATATTTAATTTTATTTTTTTTTCTAACTGGGGATCAGCCCAGGGTCTCACAGGTCTCTACCACCTGCTACACCCCCCAACCCCACCCTCTCTGTATGAATACTTTTATTACATACATATGTATGTGTGCATTGAATATATGACCTTATTCTGTGTTTCAATATACAGGAATGTCATCCCATTGGATGTCCTTGAATCTGACCCCATGAACTTGATCATACAGATATATTTTACTTATCTTTTTAAATATTTATTTTATTAGTTTTAGGTGGATACAATATCTTTATTTTACATTTATGTGGTGCTGAGGATGGAACCCAGTGCCTCACGCATGTCAGGCGAGTGCTCTACCACTGAGCCCCTGCCCCAGCCCCTCATACAGATTTTATTTTAAATGCTGTGTCATAGTGTTTTCTTGTGCATAGTTCAAGGTTTAGTGGGTCTCAGATCCAGGTGCTTGTGCCCGTGGAGGAGCGTGGCCATCCTGGAGGACAGGCCTAATCTTAAGGGATGGGCCTCAGGCTTTTCAGCTGCTGTGGTGTTTTTTTTCAAGATGGATCTGCCCAAGAACAGGAGCCGGGTCAGGCTTTCTGCTGGTCATCCCTCCTGGCCTGGCCTTTCATGGCTCTTCTTCTCCCATTTTAAAACAGAAAGGTGGACCCTCCTGGGCTTTGCTGTGGTATCACACACCCCAAGGTTAAACCCCGCTGGCGCACCAATCAGAGTGATACACCTGGGAAATTGCAACTCACTGTCCAGCACTCAAGAACCGGCAGAGAGTGCCCCTCTCTTTGGCAGAGTCTCAGAGATCCTGAGGCAGAGTGCCTGGGGCAGGCTCTGGGCCTCAAAGCCCCACCACTGTCCACGGATCTCCATCTGCTCTCCACAGATCTCCACCCGCCCTCCACCCTCTCCACCCACTCTCCACCCTCTCTACCCACTCTCCACCCTCTCCACTCTCTCCACCCACTCTCCACCCACTCTCTACACTCTCTACACTCTCCACTGCTCTCCATCCTCTCCACCCTCTCCATCCTCTCCACCCACTCTCTACCCTCTCCACCCTCTCCACCCACTGTCCACCCGCTGTCCACCCTCTCCATCCTCTCCACCCACTCTCTACCCTCTCCACCCTCTCCACCCCTCTCCACCCACTTTCTACCCTCTCCACCTGCTCTCCACCCTCTCTCCACCATCTCCACCCGCAATCCACCCACTCTCCACCCTCTCCACCTCTCTCCATCTGCTCTTCACCCGCTCTCCACACTCTCCACCACTGTCCACCCTCTCCCCCCCTTTCTCCACCCTCTCAACCCCCCCTCCACCCTCTCTACCCACTCTCCACACTTTCCACCCCCCTCTCCACCCTCTCCATGCTCTCCACCCTCTCCACCCACTCTCCACACTCTCCACCTGCTCTCCACCCACTCTCCTCCCACTATCTACCCTCTCCACCCTCTCCACTGCTCTCCATCGTTCTCCACCACCATCCACCCCTCTCTACCCTCTCTATGCTCTCCACCCACTCTCCACGCGTTCTCCACCTGCTCTCCACAGCTGTCCACCGCTGTCCACCGCTCTCCACCTCAGACCTACATTTCAGAGGTGAGGCATCTTTGTGGGCTGTACAACCACACGTCCATTGGACTGTAAGAGGAGCCAAGCTTCTTTTTCAGCAGAAAGTCAGTCTGACTTGCTGATCTGTTGGACATGGAGGACTGGCTTTTCTAGTGAAGTCAGGCAGTCAAATGAGCTAAATCTTGAGCTTCAAGATTTTCATGAAAATAAAGTTTAAACCTATGATACAATAAGAGCATTTTATCCAAATGTTGTGTGTGTTGAAATTTGATTTGAAATTCAATTTAAAATATTCCTAGTTCCCCCAACAGCTGCTGAGCTCAACACTTTAGGCATTTAGGTGAAAGGACAGTATCACTGACCCCTATGTGGTAGGCTCTGGGGAAGCCCCATCCGGTAAGCATCCAGGAAACAGGACAGGAAGTGGCTCTGGAGGCGGTAATAAGCCACATGCAGGCCAGCAGTGACCAAGTTTTCGTTTTCCACAAAGCTAAACGAAGCCCCGTTGGGGCTGGAACTGACATGGAACTGTGTCCCTGAGTTCACTGAGTGCTGCCTCCAGCACCTCAGGATGTGACCTTGCCACAGGAGAGAGGGTCTCTGGAGAGGGTCCTAGGGATTCTCAGAGGAGAGGGACTCGGCTCAGACCAGCAAGGCCCTTGACATACATGGTGGAAGAGAAGTTCAGCAGGAGGCAGACAGAGGCTTTTCCAGGAGGCGGTGCACACCAAGGGGGACTCCGGCCTTCTCAGAGTGAGCAGCCCTGCCCTGGGCTGGGGCCGTGTTTACAGAAGGGCTGTGTGGGGGGCCCAGGCTCCCGGGGAGCCAGGTGGAGCTGCCCAACTTGGAGCTTGGTGTTTCCCTCATTTTACAAGAGCTTGGGCCCAGCTTGCTGCTCAGGGTTACAACTGCGCTGTCTGCATCTCAACCGCTGTGGGCAGTTCCTTTCAGATTTGGTATTTGTCTCTCTTTATCCTAAATCCCCATCTTAACCTCCAGTAGAGGACAGGTTATCAAGTCCACAGGCGGTCACTAGGACGGGCCCTAACCCAACCTAACTGGCGTCCTTGTGGAGAGGAGGAATCTGGATGCAGACACACTGGGAGAAGCCCTCTGGAAACAGCGCAGGACTGGGCCAGGTCTCTACAGCCAGGAGTGCCAGAGGCCAGCGGCTCACCAGCACCAGAGCCTTCTCACAATCCCAGGGCAAGCTCACCCCTCACCCCCTGATCCCAACCTTCTGTCATCCAGAACTGGGGGCAATGCATTTCTGTTGTTTAAGCCACCTGACTTGGGGTACTTTGTTATAGCAGCCCAGCAAAACAGTACAGCAATTGGCAGAGCATTGGTATTGCCATTTCAAAAAATGGAACAGCTAACAGATTGGTGACTCTGTTGTAATAAAGCACATATTTCTTTATGGAAACCAGATTTCTCAGTGCTTACATCACATGACAAAAAGGGAAAATGCGTGATTCCAGATTCGGTCTCATTCTAGAATAAGTGATATTTTCCTATGGCTTCATGAACTAACTGGGCCCTATTTCATTAAGAGCTGAGGTCCCCTCCTGGAAAGCTATTTTTAAGACAAAACTTTCTTATTCTGAGGTAATCGAGGACTGATACACAGTTATAAAAAACAATAAAAGGGTACTGTGGTGCAGGCCTGTAATCCCAGTGTCTCAGGAGGTCAAGGCAGGAGGATTCCAGGTTCAAGCCAGCCTCAGCAACCTAGCAAGACTCTGTTTCAAAAAAAAAAAAAGGCTGAGATGTAAAGTGTCCCTGAGTAAAATCCCCAATACTAAAATTTTTTAAATTAAAAAAAAAAAAAGAATACAGAGAGATCTTGTACCTCTACCTTGTATCCCCCAATGATCACATCTTGCATAATCTTAATATGATATCATGAGAGGTTACCTTTTATGCCTGATGATTTTCAAGATTTATAATTTATTTTTATTTTGAATAATCATGCACTACAAATGGTTGTAATGAAGACACTAAATGTGTTTTTAACACTTAGAAATTATGGTAACAGGAAATTAAAATTTACATACTTTTTGTGCAGAGAAGTGTCATCAGAAGATCTCAAATGTATGGAGGAGGCAGGATAGAACTCATCAATTCAAGGAGGAAACAAAAGTAATAAAAAATTTGTTAAAGAAGAACTTGTTTTTATATTTTAAAAATGGGTGATGGTTGTAATAGAATTGGTATATTATTTACATGGCATTTGAAATAATTAAAAAGGATGATATAAAGGTTTGAATTTAAAAATAAATATCTACATTGGAAATTATCCTTTTTACAATGATGAAACATCTTTAATGTCAAGCTAAAAATGAGTGAAAGAGGCTGGGGCTGTAGCTCAGTGGTAGAGCCCTTGCCTAGCATGTACAAGGCCCTGGACTCAATCCCCAGTACACCCCCCCCCCCAAAAAAATGAAATGAATTGAAAAATAAATAAAAGTGAAGAAGTGTGGAGAGCAGTGACTTAGATCTTGGTCTTTGACTCCCTCAGAGCTGCGGCTGTGCTTCACTCTGGGAACTTCCTGTGTAAAGTGCAGCATGAGATTGCCCAGGAGCTATGGTAATGCCCTACTGAGGAACTTCTGTGCAAAGGTACAGAACAACAACTGTCTTGACCTTGAGCCCAGAGGCCAGCTGCAGGAGATAGATAATTCTGAGCATAAGAAGATAACCATGGTATCTTGCAAGTGCTGCAAACTTCAAGCCTGCCTGCTCTGCAGAAACTCTGGACAATGTCCGTTTTGGGCTCAGCAGGGTAATAACAGGATGTTCCCAGCACTGCAACAGTAGAATAGCTACAAAAAATGTTTCTAGTTCTGTAACTTTTTAGTGAACAAACAACAATGTGCTCTAACTTCTTGATTGTGAGATCCTATATATAACAAAAGTGCTGAGCTAGTTCTGGGCCACTGCTCCTTCATCTGAGGTGGGTATCCCACTGGGTCCCAGATTTGTCTCTGTGTTTGTGTGTCTTTCTTAATTCCTCATTGTCCCTTGCTGGTTTTTAGGGTTTGGCTGTGCAGGTCATCACAAAGAAGTGTACCCATCTTGTAGTAATATTATTCACAACAGATAAACTGAGGGCACAGTCCAAGTGTCCATTAACAGATGAGTGGATAAGCAAGATGTGGCCTCTACACACAGTGGGACATGACTCAGCCTTAAGAGGCAGGAAACCGACAGATGCTACAAAGAAAGTAGAACAGCCTTGAGGACATTGTGCTGAGTGAAATCAGCCAGCCAGAAGACACAAGAGGTGCCCATGCAGTCAAGGTCACAGAAACAGAAAGCAGAAGGGTGGGTGGGATGGGAATGGGGAACCACACTCCACTGGTAGTTTCGGTGGTGCAAGATGGAGAGTTCTGGAGATGGAGGTAGTGCTGGTGACACAACAGAGCACATGCAAATGCCACTGAACTGTCCTCTGAAAAATGGTTCAGTGACTTTTATGTTTTGTGTAATTTACCACAATAAATTTAAAAATATGAGCAAAGGCGTACATCATCTTTTATATTTTGGGGGCTTACAGAGCAATAAGGTCCATGACAGTGCCACTGCTTAGCCATTTCTCTGCAGCTGGCCTTTAGGCTGCTTCTGATTTTTGCCATTATAACACTACCACGAGCCCCCTGTACATGTTGATTAGAGTCAAGGACAAGACTTGCCCTTGGCTGTCAACCTGGAGAAGGGGTGTTCTGAGAAGTCTGTCACCTTGGAAGGCAGGACTCATTTCAAAGAGCTTCTCTTCAGCTCCAAAGCTCTGGACATTTCCACAGTGCTGGTGGGGACATGCCCACGCCAGCTGCAGGCCCATGTGCATTCCCCTCAGGCTTTGTAGTACTGGCTTGGTCGGTCTGTTCAGCTCTGCTAACCTGGCAGATAAGCATGGGCATGTCCTGTGTGAGCCAGCATGTCCCTTGTCATGATTGAGGCTGTCTTTCTGCAGGCTTGCTGGCTCCTGGGCTGTGCTGCTCTGCCAGATGCTTGTTGTATCCTTCCCACCACCTGTTGGGGGCAACAGGATTTAAGCAACGTCCACCCTGCCCTGTCTTCCAGAACACACCTCACTTAAAACATGAATTTTGTGGATGCTTAGAGAGCCTGTTCCTTTCCAACAATTGCTAACTACCAATTTCCCCAACCAAATGGGTCTCAACTCTTTGGAGGATGTCCTGAGACCTGTCAGTTGAAGCTCACAAAAACACTGAGCCAAAAGTTCCTCCCTTTCCTTCGTTTCCTTCCCTTCCTCCCTCAGTCTTCCTTCTGTCCCTGTCTTCCTCCCTCCCTCCCTCTTCCTCTCCTTCCTTCCTCTTCTCACTCTCTCATTACTCTGCTTTGCTGGTGGAAACAGTCCGTTGTCTTTAAACAGTCTACTCACAATGGAAACTTGAAGGAGTCGGTGGAAAATTTTCTTCTTACAGAAGTAGGTTAGTTCATCTGAGTGCTGATCCAGGGTCCTTGGGGGAACCTCAACTCAACCAGAAACCTTTTCACTCCCACGTCTTACAAACCATCCCTGCTGGTGACAGGCCCACTGGGGACCCGAGCAGCTCTGGCCACCTGTGGGGCGAGCTGTGGAAGCCAGCGCGTGCAGCGATGGAAACTGCTGGGGGAGGACTGGGTTTCCTCAGCTGCCCACCGGAGTCCGAGGGCCCGGCCAAGGCTCGGTTCTGCAGCTGGGACCCCGGACGTTGATGGAACTTTCCTCCTCCGGAAAGCGGGGTGTGCAGGTGGGGAGGGGTCGCGTGCAGACCTGGCGAGGGGAGCCTTAAGGGCAAGCGGGAGCAGAGATTTCCCGCGCCCTTCCCGTGGCCGGGTCCCTTCTGCCTCCTCCCTTCCTCTTCTGCCTTCTCAGGATGGTTTGCACTTTCCCAGTTTAGCAGGAGGAGAGGAGGGAGCTGCCCTCTGGCACCTCCCACGCTAAAATCAACCTTTGCAAGGTTGCTGCGGGTGCCGGCGGCTGGGCCCTGACTGGCGTCTCCCGGTGCTCTACCGCCAGTCTCTTAAGACAGGATGGAGGACGGTGTGCCGCGTGCTGTGGCGAGGAGCTTGGGGGTCCTGGGTTGTGGGTGCCGCGGTCCTGCGTGTCCGCCGACGGCTGGCCCGTTCTGCAGGTCCTGGCGCTGAGGGGGTCTCCGCGAAGGGGACAGTTACTGTGTAACGCCGGGATTAGGGGTGCAGCTGCGCGGAGGCGAGCCAGGACCCACCCGGAGCAGGGGGTGAGATGCGGGGGGGACACACTGGCGGCCAGGGCCGCACCTGAACCAGCAGGGTGGCGGCGGCAGCGGCAGCGGAGAGGAGCCCAGGAGGGCGAGCGGCCAGCCGCCTGGAGGACCGCACGGCCTGTGGGGCGCAGCAGCCCCGCGGCAGAGGTGGGCCGGTCCCGCGGCTGGCGAGGGGCGCGGCTGTCCCTCTCCGGCCCGTCCGCCTGAGCCTCGGGGCCAGCCTTGGGGTGCGGAGCATCACCCCACCTCCGGGTAGTCCCCGGCGAATCCCTCCTTGGCGCACAGCAAGCCCCGCGCGGAGTCGCCAGCGCAGCTCCGGCTCCTGCTCCGGAAAAGCGCAGCTGCCGTGGGCGCGGACATCAGGGCCGTGGAAGGTAGGAACGGGGTTCAGGGTGCGGGGGCTGGCCAAGGGAGGGACCCTGGGGTCCCCGGCGGGGTGGGGGAAGGAGAGGAAGGATCTAAGAGTTGGAAGTAAACTCGGAAGACCGGCCTCGCCTTCTTCACCAAACGGGGAACCTGGCCTGGGCTGGTGAGCCTCCTGCTCCGGGCATCCCGGGCAAGGGCGGAGGCGCTCGCCACCCACGCGCTGGCTTAGCCCGACCCTGCAGGAGGCGACGTCGCTCTAGTTGGCAGGTTCTGGAGCGGGGAGGAGGGGACGACTCGGATTCAGTCGCTCGGGACCTCGCGTAGGGACCCAGGTGCACGTTTCTACCCGCCAGGGGCGGCCGGTACACCTACCCCTCGACCCTGCGGCCTCGCCCGCCGTCCCTTCTCACGATCCTGTTCTGTTACAGGTCACCTGTTCTGTTACAGGCCCTCAGAACCCGATTTATCTTTGGCGACCCAGATTCAGTAGTGGCGGTGGCCCGGGTGGCAGGTGGACTTTCGGCGGCGGTGGAGTGGCCTTGGCCCCCGACCTCCCCAGCAGGCTCGGCGACTACCGGGAAGCCTCCGGAGCGGCGCCTGGGTGCAAAGGGCCAGGAGGTCACAGGGTGTGACCTGAACGGTGAATAGGAGTCCTCAAATCCGAGATCTCTCTTCTTGGGGTCAGGAGAGGGGTTTTTCCAACTCTCCGCTGAGAGAGAGAGAGAGAGAGAGAGAGAGAGAGAGAGAGAGAGAGAGAGAGAGAGAGAGAGAGAGGAAACGCCCTGGAGTGGAGATCCCGGGTTTCCGGCGCCCAGGGCCCTACCCGGGCTGACTTGGCGAGATCTGCGGGCCCCCAGCGGTGACCCCTGGGCGGCTGCGCGCAGGGTGCCCGAGACAGGTGGAGCGCTAGGCTCAGGATGTCCCCCTCGGACGGCAGCAGAGGAAGATCTGAGCTGCCGCCAGCCGTGTGCATGCCGGGCGCAGGCGGAGCTGGACGCGGGGGGGCGGGGGGGGGCCCCGGGGCTCCAGGATGGCAGGTGAGGGCCGGAAGCGCGAGCCCCCGCCGGCCCTGGAGGTGCGGGAACCAGGGGTCGCGGTCAGCGCAGGCCCTGCCCTCCGCCGCCGAGGCGCGCGTGTCCTCAGGCCGGAGCTACAAGAATCCTCCTCTCCCTGTGGTCCGCAGGAGTCCTGAGCGACCACACACAGCAGCGAACCAGGGCCCTCTCTGCCTCGGGCTTATCAATTAACATTTAGCCTAAAGTAAAGTTTTCCCTCTCTTTTTTAGCTTAAAAGTATTTTAGAGAATAAAAATATTGTAGAGAATTTAAAAAATCACTCCTAGTGTCAACATGGAATTTTAATGTTTTTATTGTATATTTTAAGAATTCTGTTTTTTTTAAGTTTTTTTTTTTCAGTTGTAGTTGGACACATACCTTTATTTTATTTATTTTTATGTGGTGCTGAGGATGGAACTCGGCCTCTTCGCGTGCTACATGAGCTCTGTACCGCTGAGCCACAGTCCCAGGCCCTCCTGTTTGGTTTTGTTCTGTACTGCTTCATTATTTCCCATAATTGTCACTAAATTTCTAGCCTGCTTACTTGCTTCTTTTTCCTTTTTTTGTATGGGGATTGAACCTAGGGGCACTTAAGCACTGAGTCACATCCCAGCACATTGTTTATTTTTTATTTTGAGACAGGGTCTTGCTAAGTTGCTTGGAGCCTTGGTAAGTTACTGAGGCTGGGTTTGAACTTGTGATCCTCCTGGCTCAGCCTCCCTAGCCACTGGGATTACAGGTGTGGGTCATGCCTGGCCTCAGCCTGCTTTGAAAAATGATTAAATCATATTTCAGACAATTTCTCTATGACATGCCCTTCCTGAATCATACCTGCTAGCTGCATGACTTTGCACTGTTTCGTCCAGCTAGTTGGGCATTTAGGTGGGGTCTGCATTTTCATTTTGAAGTAGCATGTAATTTTGATTTTTTATTTCTTAGTTATGCTACAAGTTTGTAAAAGGTGTTTACAGTTTTTTTCAAGTGGACAGGTATTTACCCTTCTCTTTGTTTAAAATTTTTTTACTCTGCAGTTTGAGAATGTGATTGTATTTCTGCTTTTTGGATTTGAGTTTTGATTAATGGTTGATTTGTGTGTGTGTGTGTGTGTGTGTGTTACAGGGTATTGACCCCAGGGGTGCTCTACCACTGAACCACATCCCCAACCTTTTTATTTTTTATTTTGAGAGAGGGTCCTGCTGAGTTGCCCAGGCTGGCCTCAAACTTGCAATCCTCCTGCCTCAGTCTCTGGAATTACAGGTGAGCACCACCAAGCCCATTTGTAAATAACCTTAGGCATAGTTTTGCACAAAATTCCATAAATTTATTAACCATAACTATTATATCTTTACTTTTTGTATACTTCATCTGTCAATTGGATTTTCCGTTTCTTCTAATTTTTAAGTTTGTGCTTTCTGTATTTTAAAAGTGATATTATGAATGTAAAAATGCTGTTGAGATGATAAATAAGGAACCATACCAGCATATACATCTTTTTATGCATTCTGAATTATTTCTCTTGGTCGAGATTTTCAAAAGGAAGTGGGCTTTCAAGCCAAGTTGTCCTTTTAAGGATTTGACAAATGTGTACATGAGAATGCATATTTCACTAAACTCCACTCAGCAACAGGAATTAGACACACGTACACGTATTCTCTCTATATATACATATATGTACATACATATTTGTCAGTGTTATATTTGAGAAAGGCAAGAAATGAGATACTTTTTTTTTTTTGGTTTACCATTTACAAATCTTTCACATACATTCTCATTTGACCCTCCCGACAACCCTGTGAGGTAGGCAGCACAGACATTCTTCTCAATTAACAGATGAGGAAAGTGAATCTAAAAGCAGTTAACTGATGTGCCCAAGGTTCTATAGTTAGCAAATAGTTTGTAATATCAGTCTTTGGCCTAAAAATTAAGTGCCCAACCTCCCCTCAAACTTGCCTTACCTACTTCACAGGGATAATGAAGATAAAATGAATTGAAAATTAGAAAAATACTTTGAGGGGAAAAACCACTATATAATTATACCCAACATTGCCCATGATATATGGCTCATTCCTCTTATTCCAGTTTGTGCATGAACCAGAATTTTATATTACTTCTATGCTCAACTAAGCAATTAAGTAAGGCAGGGTAATAGTGTGATCCTGTTTAAAATTAGATAAATTACAATCAGGGTAACTGCATTATTAAGCAAATTGAAAAACAGGCTAATGTGCAATTAGGACCCAATAAAGCACACAGCAAAGCAAGGCAACATTATCAGATAGGGCATGATTGCATAGAGGGAAAATGTGGTGTCAGAGTTAAACTGGCACACACCCAGTTATCTAAGGTGAAGTGGTGGCAAAGAAGAGTTATTTGTTCTGCATTATGTAAATAAGAGAAGATGATTCTTGGGAACCCATGCAAAAGCATCTTGTCACACAGATTTCTCCAGCTGCCTAAAGAGAATATAAACACGGTCATCTTCATTGTCGAGAATGATTCTATCTATGCTTATATCCAGACTAAACCAAGGAACACCTCCAAGCTAATCTTCCGTGGCTAAAATACAACTAGTACCATTATTCCTAATTAGACTAATAAATAGATATCTTTTAATGAATTAGACGGCTGTTTAGTTTTTTTTTTCAGGATTCACTTTGGATTCTTCTGCTTTAAGACCCAAAGCAAGTTATTGAGTTTTTTTTTTTTTTGTGATTCTAAGTATATGTGTTTATAACAGTTGAAGTGTGAATTTAACATATTAAAAGAGTTTTACAGCATCTGTTTAGAAAAGATTGTATACTATACAAACTATTCAAGTCATACAAAACCATTTTGCAGTGTCTTTTCAACTGAGAAGAATTCTATTCAGCACTCTTCTCTTCCGAGGTGGTTCATACTGAACAAGCTTTGCTTTCAGTTTTTTATTTTCTTCTACAGTAGCTTCATATTTTTCTTTCATTTCTGCCCATTCTAAGCTGGGCAACTCTATTTCTGGATTTTCTAGGTAGCAGCTCTTAAGTGATGCTTTAAAAAATCCAGGGGCTGGGGATGTGGCTCAAGGGGTAGCGCCCTCGCCTGGCGTGTGTGCGGCCCGGGGTTGATCCTCAGCACCACATACAAAGATGTTGTGTCTGCCGAAAACTGAAAAATAAATATCGTTCTCTCTCAAAAAAAAAAAAAAAAAAAGTCCAAAGCACTATTAGGTTTCTCTGGTTCTTCATCTAAGGCTACCAACACCTTGGTCAGCATGTCCAGCACCCCCAACTTCTCCAAGTACCTCTGGAACTGCTCGCACTTCCAGTCGGTGGCTTTGTAAAGGGCCTGTAGTGACAGCGGCCACTGCGTAGTTGGTGCTGTGTAGCTGGTGGCTGGCCGGCTCCGAGGAGCACTGCTCGAGAGATACTTTTTAAATGTAAGAATTTATTTTTGCAGCTGACCTCATTTTTCCCCTGTAGGTCTGACAACTAGTTGAATTTTCATTTTCAGATGTGGATTGTTAGTTCTTGTCCTTCTATGCTCATGTTTTCTTTTTGTGTGTGATTGTGTTTTCTATGTTTTAAACCAGTGAACTTAATCTTGGCAGCTCTCATGTTATAGAAATTGTGTTTCTGTTTTTCTACCACAAAACGCCTCACTGAGGAAGAAAACTCACCCCTCCAAACCTGATGTTCACCCAGCCAGCCCCTCTGCTGCTCTCCCAGGACAGGAGTCCCTTCAGCAGGACACACGGACTGCAGGTCCTATGCAGCCCCAAACTCTACAGTTTGGGGACTTTAAAAAAAAAAACAAAACATTTTTTTTTAAGTGCATTTTGGCTGAAATATAGGAAAACTGGTGTCCAGTGAGATGACGTGGGTTCTTGGATAGAGACATTCCTATTTTGAGGTCTCTCAGAGAGGGCTGGTGAGCAAGGAGGGGGCTTGGGGCTGGGACCTTTGGCCTTTGGCCCTGTCTGCATCCAGGAGTGGTCAGGCCAGATATTTACAGGGCCCCTTCAGAGTCCCTGCTGTCCATGGGGTCAAAAGGGACTACCTCTCTCTTGTTTCTGACACAGGGAATCCATGTCCTCTCTCTTCCTGGTGAGCCTGGCTGGAGGTTTACTTATCTTTTAGCTTTATTATCTTTTCAGAGCCAACTTTTTTTTCTTTGATTTTCTCTATATTTCCTGTTTTCAATTTCAAAGATTCTGTTCTAATTTTCAGTATTTTTTTTTCCTGCTTTAGGTTTAAATTGATCTTCTTTATCCTGTTTCTCAAAGGAGAAGTTTAGATGGTTGATTTTAGGTCTTCTCTTTGTATCTTTTTTGTGTGTGTTGGCACTGGGGTGGAGGCCAGGACCTCTGGCCCGCTAGGCACGTGCTCTTCCACTGAGCTGCACCCCCAGATCTTCTTTTTTTAAAAACAAAAGCATTTAATGCTGTGAATTTCCCTCTACATATTACTTTGCTGCATCCCATAAATTTTGAAAAGTTGCTTTTCCATTTACATTGAGATCAAACTATTTGCAAGTTCTCCTGAGGCTCCTTTTTCTCCCGTGTGTGTTACTGAGAAGGATGTTGTTTGATCTTCGATCCTGTGGAGACTTTTGCAGGTGTGTGATTTCTGTTGTTAATTCTCGTGTGGCCTGAGCGCTTTGCATGATTTCTGTTCATCTAACGCTGTCGGCTGATCTCAGGGTGCAGAGTGTGGTCTCCTTAGGGGGATATTCCCTGTGAGCTTGTGAAGAACCTGTCCCCACTCCTGCTGTGTGGAGGAGACTGTCCATGAGACCGGCTGAGCCCTGGTCCGTCCAGGTCAGTCAGACTAGTACTAATTTTCTGTCTGCAGGATTGGTCGGTGACGGGAGGAGGGTGTTGACAGAACTTTCTGTAGGCATGGATCTCATTCTCCCTGCATCTCTGTCATTTCTTGCCTCCAGCGAGAGACCCTGCTGTTAGGGATGTGCCTGGTGAGGGGCCTTGTGTCCACTCTTCTCAGTGTGGCCACCAGTGTCTTTCTGCCTCCCTTTACAGCCCATCTGAGTCTTTATACTTAAAGTGGGTTTCTTGTATGGTTAGGTCTTGTTTTTTTATCCTCTGACAATCTCTTGTCTTGAGCTGTATACTTAAACTATTCACAAAGTGATTTTTTAATACACTGGTAAATATCTACTGTGTTTGTAAATAATCTCTCGGGGTCAGCCTCTCTGTGTCTTTCCCTCTTGCCTCATCCACTGAGAGAACTACTTATCAGTGTTTTCCCAGTGATGTCCTGAGTAGTCAGCCGGCATCTTGTCTAGCTGTATGTGCAGCAAACACTTCCTGCTGGGGGCAGTGGCCACGACTATCATCCCAGCTGCTCGGGAGGCTGAGGCAGAAGGACCACAGGTTCAAGGCCAGCCTGGGCAACTTAGTGAGACCCTGCCTCAAGATAAAAATAATTTTAAAAACGGCTGGGGCAGAGTGCTTGCCTAGCATGTGCAAGGTTGGGATCCAATCCCAGCATCACAGAAACAAAACAAAACAAGATAAATGCTTCTTCGTACCTGGGTGAGAACCCGGTGTCCAACACTGGGGCAGTACAAGTTTAAATCATGGCCCACTGGCCTGGAGGAGTGCCACGCAGCAGGTAAAAGGGCCAGTACATGTGTATGTCCAGAAATAGAACAAACCCTAACAGATATTGCTAAGTGGTTCACAGGCCAACATGCACGTTACGATTCTTTCACGTCAAGACCGTGTGTGTGCATGTGTAACACAAAGGAGAACCTCTGGCACCGTGGAAACTGGTGTGCTGATGGTGGATTTGGGAAATCGAAGAAGTATTAGTTACATTTCTTTAAGACAATAAGTGTATTCATATATTCACGAATGTGTGAATGCTTGTTTTTTAAACAAGCATTTTTAAAATGAAAGGCTTAAAATTGCGTTCCCTCAGAAGAGAACATCTGCATGGCTTAGGAACCTTCTGGAACCTTGTCATGGGCTCATCTGCTGTAGGCCCACAGGGCCATGATGTCCCCAGAAGCAGCCAGTCTCAGCGCTGTGTCCCTCCAGTCTCCCAGACTCTGGGCACAGTGATTCCAGGTGGACAGTCTTGGCCAGAAGGTGGACACTGAGGCTCACAGGACAGGAGCCTTGGCTGGCCAGGGTAGAGCTGGAGCCCCCAGAACTTTGGGGGCAGAGTAGCCGAGTGCTGGAGTACGTTGGGGGGCCTGTGGGGAGGCACGCTGGTGAGGGTGGCTGGTGTGTCCCTGGGCTGCTTGCTTAGGATTTCCAGAGGCCCATGGGCCTGGGGGCTTTCACGAGGTTGGAACAGGCTGCGATTTACAGGCAGGGCTTAAGGACACAGGGGCACTGAGAGTGTCCCCATGCGTCCCCATGGGCCTGGGGGCTTTCAGGGGGTTGGAACAGGCTGCAATTTTCAGGAAGGGCTTAAGGACCCAGGGGCATTGCCCCTTGAGGGCTCCAGGCAGCCTGCTGGTTATTTTCCAGGAATGACTGGCTTTTCTGCCAATTAGACGTTGTGTCAACTGAAACGAGCCAGGGCTGGAGCCCTCAGTGGCCTTAGGTAACAATGGGATCCAAACCCATTCGATTCATGACCTTGAAGCCCATTCTTTCTGTTTCTCCTGGAGATGAGGAGCCCACGCATGCAGAATCTCTGGTTGCAGTTATGCCCCAGGTAAGCAAGGGCATCCCACCTGAGGGAGGCGGGCCTTCCCCATGCCCTTGGGCCTCCCCCATGCCATTTGGCCTTCCCCATGCCCTTGGGCCTCCCCCATGCCATTTGGCCTCCCCCATGCCCTTGGGCCTCCATTACCAAGGTTACTTGGTAATTTCAATAGTGTGCAACTAAGTCCCCTGGCACTCGGAATCAAGAATGCGTGGGCACATGGCTGCATGAGACCTCAGGAACACCCCCAAGCTTTGCAAATTTCCCCTGGCAGAGTGGGGGTGTGGGTGGCCTCTGTCAACCCTCAATGGAAGAGAAGCAGGCTCCACTGCGTGTCAGGGAGTTTGTCCCCAAGGCCTGTCCCTGCTGAGCATGGCGTGGTGGAAAGCTGTTATTTCCCTCTCCAGTCTACAGGTCCCGTGAATTCAAAGTGGCTTCCAGGTTTTCTTGGGAGGTGGCCGGGCAGGTCAGTGGGAGAGTTAGTCAGGGCTCTGTGACCATTGTCAAAATTCAGCTCTAGCTGGGTGTAGTGACGAACACCTGTAATCCCAATGACTCGGGAGGCTGAGGCAGGAGGATTGTGAGTTCAAACCCAGCCTCAGCAACTTAGCAAGGCCCTAAGCAACTCAGTGAGACCCTGTCTCTAAATAAAATACAAAAAAGGGCTGGGGATGTGGTTTAGTGGTTAAGCACCTCCAGGGTTCAATCAACTCTTATCTCAAACAATTCTCGGCAACTAAATGCAGAAAGCAAAGTTGTAAAATGTGTTTTGGGGAAAAATGATGTTTTAAAGACATGGGGTGAGGCTAAATTTCTTTGATCAAGACATAAAAGCACAAACCACAGAAGTGTGATAATATATTATTATATTAAAAAAATGAACTCCACAGTACAGGCCTAGGGGTGCAGCTCGGTAGTAGAGTGCTTGCCCAGCAGACACAAACTCCTGGGTTCCATCGCTAGTGCCACACACACAAATGTGTGTAGGACAAAAATCAGTACAAATTTAAAAGACAAGTCTCAAGTTTGAAAAAAATATTTGCACAAAAACAATAAAGAATCATTATCCACCTATATACAACTTACAAATTAATAAGAAAGACAATTAACAATAAGCAAGGAACATAAGCTAGCCAATATCCAAACAAAAGACTCTAAACTTTACTTAAATTAGTGAAATGCAAATTAAAACAACTGACACTTCTTCATAGTCAGCTTAGTAAAAACTAATAAGTCCCCGACACCAAACAGAGTGAGGATATGGCCAAAGAAGAACTTGAATGCATAGTTGGTGGGAGCGCGAGTTGGTGGCACCATCTGGACAGCCTGGCCATCTCTAGGAGAAGTGGAGATTCCTGGCCCTAGCACTTCTAATTTAGTGCTCAGAGACACTTCTATGTAGGAGAATGTTCATGAAAACATGAACAGCAGAAATTGGAAACTCATGGTAACAAAAATCGGAGACAACCTAGTATCCAATAACCGAGGAATGGAAAAACTCCCTGGTGATAAGTGAAACGCCACCATGAATGAGCTGTACAGTCATCAAGTGTACCCAGCAACGTAATGTGGAATGAAACCAACAAATTTCAAAAGCACATGCACAGTTGACATTATTTATAAAAAATAAAGACACATGCAAAGCAAAGCTCTATATCATTGTTGTGTTGTTATTTCTAGACACATACTTACATAACCAAAAGATCACAAGTGGGAAGAGAGGGGAGCCTGATGGCAGAACCAACAAACTCCCACCAGTGGGCAGCCAGGAGGCTGGAGCCCTTGGTGAAGGAAAGGTCTGGACACCAGCATTTTGAAATAAAAGAAAGAAGCAAATTCAGTAAAATGTTAAATTTGCTACCTTGGACAAACATATTGCGTTCAGTACTTTTCTTTATGTTTGACATATTTCATGTTGTAAAACAAAAATGTCCTGTGTGGGTCAGTGGAGTGGATACCTACACGCAGAGTCCACGGTCTGAGCCCTGGAGAAGGCCCTGGAACCCCAAGGTCAGTGCGTCTCCCAGCCTGGAGTGGAGGCAGATCCAGGCTAGTTCAAGACGGCTAGTGACACTGTCCTGTAGTGACAGAGGTCCGAGCAGCATCCCCTGAGGCTGGGCTGCCGGGGCTCCGCAGTGCTGTGTCATCAGCGCCCAGGTAGGGCTAGGTGTTCTCCTTACCCCTGTTTGGCATTTGCGGCTCAGAAGGGTCTGCTCACTGGCCCAGGTCACACAGGCAGCCAGGTCTGCCAGGCGCTGCCCTACCCACCAGGCCGTCCAGTGCTCTGACCACTTCCCGCCAGCCTCCCTCTTCTCCCTCTTGCTCACCTATCTGGCCTTACCTGCTGTTGAGTTACGGATGTTCCTGAAAGGGCCAGCTAGACTTTTTTGCCCCTACTCCCAAATAACCCAGTAGCTCCAAGTTTTTGCTTGCCTTTTTTTTTTAAAAATCAGGCTACACGGGCCTTCTCGGGTTTTTCTCCAAACTCACCAGGCTTGCTGCTGCTGAAGGTCTCCAGGACTGGCTGGGCCCTCTCTGAACCTGTCAGGGAGCAGGTGAGGGGTTTGGAATCAGGTCGCCTGGGACTGAATCCCAGCTCTCCAATTTATTAATGCTCAGCATGCCCTGAGCCTCTCTGATCCTGCTCCCCACCTGCTAACGGAGTCACTGCATTAGGAAAGCCAAGAGGGAGGGAACGCAGGCTCTATGCATGCAGCGCAACGTGCGGTCGGCCCACGGGGCTCCTCTGCCAGGCCCGCAGGGACAGACGGGGTCCTGGGGCAGCCTTAGAACCGTCCAGAGCTGGGGGTGGGGGCACCAGGGCCCTGGAAGGCTGAAAGCCCTGGAGGCGGTTTCGGAGCCAGTGTGGACCCCCAGTGGAACATCTCCCCCCACAGGGCAAACGCCCTCAGAACCTCTGAGAATCAGTTTCACTTTTAGCAAGATCCCGCTGAGAGGGAAAGCCCAGCAGAGCTCTACCCGGGAGCCGCGCCCTCCGCGCGCCCTCCGCGCGCCCTCCCCCTCTCGGCCCTGTTGCCCGGGCCTCTTGGAAGCGGGAGCCTCGGGCACTGCTTCCAGGGTTTGATTGGCACCTGCTGAGGCCGGCCGCCCGTGCCTCCCCACCCTCCCCAGCCACCAGGGAAGGCCGGGCAGCGCTTAAGGACCTGGGCCTGAGCAGGCCTCCTGCCGGGCCCTGGTCGCGGTGCCCGGTGGGGGCTCCCTAGGACTCTGGGCTCCTGCCGGGTCCGCAACGTGAACACCCCGCCACCCCAGCCCTATGAGTAAGGAGAGCGTGGACCAAGGGCGAGGGCCGGGGAGGTGGCCCCGTCTTCCAATGCAGAGGTACTCAACCCTGGGGAAGCACTTCCCAGTGACCCTGCCTGGGGTGGGTGACTCCGCGGTGGGTGGGAGACCACCTCTGAGAGCAGTTTGACACCAGATATTAAAGACTCTCTCACAAAAATCAACCGAAAGACCCGAAGCCCTGCAGCCACCAGGGAACACCGGGCAGCGCTTAAGGACCTGGGCCTGAGCAGAGATGTTTCGGATGCGACCCTCAAAGTACAGAACCAAGCGAAAATGGGCAAGCAAGCTAAGTGCTGCCCTTCAGCACAGGACACAAACGGGAGTGCTGCAGACTGCCTGTCCTCCAGGGACTGGGACAGAGCAGGGGCAGTGAACAGCTCCCAGCCAAACCCCCACTCAGTCCCGTTAAAAATGGGCAAATGCTGCGAATCGCCAAACACAAATGGTCTTAAATACTTGAAAGTCGCTCAACATCACTCGTCACCAGGGAAATGCAGACTCGGCCCCTCTGAGATGTCACCTCACCCGGGTTAGAATGGTTGACACAGAACAGGTGGAATGACGGGGCGGGGGGGTGGGGAGCGGAAAGGGAACTCTCCCCTCTGGTGGGCGGGATGCAGTCTGCACAACTCTGACAGGGAATGGAAGCTCCTCAACCACTGATCGCAATCCCACTGCTGAGAATGTCCCCAAAGGATCTGGAATCAGTATATGAAAAAGACCCCTGCAGTGCCTGGGTTGACCCAGCACATCACAGTGACCAAGAGAGGGCCTCCACCCAGGTGCCCCCAACACCTCACTGGATGGAGGAAGTGTGGCAGAGGCACAGATCACTCAGCCACGACCAAGCCCTGTCATCTGTGGCACAGGGAAGGAAGCAGAAGGCGCTGTGTTAAGCAGAGTCAGACACAGGAAGACCAGTGCTGCAGGCGCTCTCACGTCCACGGAAGCTAGACATAGAAAAGTCCATCTCACAGAAGCAGAGAGTACAAATAAACAACCCAGCAAAGGAGAGCCTACAGAATGGTAGGAAATAGTGACAAACTACTCCAGAATATCCAGATATCCAGAATATAGAAGAAAATTGAACTCAAAATAGGAAACATATCAAACCACAAAACCATAAAACTAAGTAAAACCCCCAAATAATTCAGTTTGACAAAAGGCAAATGGACCAGGCATGGTGGTGCACCCCTGTAAGCCCAGCTCCTCGGGAGACTGAGGCAGGAGTCGGAAGTGGAAGTCCAGCCGGGATGTAGGGAGACCTTGTCTGGAGATGAAACCAGAGGGTGCAGCTGGCAGGAGAACTCCCCTCAGCGTGTCAGAGCTGGCTAGATCCCAGCATCACAAATAAATACATATATATATTTTTAACGAAGGGCACATGGTCTGAAGAATGGTTAGCAGAGGCTGGGAAGCTGAGGGGGAGAAGGGAAGGGAGAGAGGTGACTAACACGTTCAGAGTGCAGTAGGAGGAGGGATGACCTCGGATGTCCTGCAGCTCCACAGGGTCACTGTGGCTGGCAGAAATCGCTCCTTTCAAAACAGCAGCAGACAGGATGTGGAATGTCCATCACAAAGAAATGGTCCATGTTTGAGGTGTTGGATGTGATGATTACATGCGAACACATTGTACACACGTATGGCAGATCATACTGGACCTCATAAATTTGTACAATAACTATGTCAATTAAAACTAAAAGCTCTTCTGAAGCCAAGAGCCACAGTAAACTCTTCCTTAGCTGTTCTGCTCAGGTCTTTTGGTAAAGCAATGATAAGTGACTAAAACACAGGGGAAGGATGAGTTTGGTCTTTGCTATTCAAGTAAGATTAGAAATAGGAGTTTCAGAGTCATTTTGAAAATTCCAATTTCATAACATAATGTGTGTGTGTGTGAAATGGAATATTATTCAGCCTTAAAAGGAAAGAAATCCTGACACATGCTACAAAATGGATAACCTTAAGGATGTTATAATAAGTAAAATAAACCAGTCACAAAAAGAAAAAAAAACCTAAAAGCTATTTTTATTTTTTATTATTTTTTTATTGATTGTTCAAAACATTACAAAGCTCTTGACATATCATATTTCATACATTAGATTCAAGTGGGTTATGAACTCCCATTTTTACCCCAATTACAGATTGCAGAATCACATCGGTTATACATCCACATTTTTACATGATGCCATATTCGTGACTGTTGTATTCTGCTACCTTTCTTATCCTCTATTATCCCCCCTCCCCTCCCCTCCCATCTTCTCTCTCTACCCCATCTACTACAATTCATTTCTCTCCTTGTTTTTTCCCCATTCCCCTCACAACCTCTTATATGTAATTTTGTGTAACAATGAGGGTCTCCTTCCATTTCCATGCAATTTCCCTTTTCTCTCCCTTTCCCTCCCACCTCATGTCTCTGTTTAATGTTAGTCTTTTCCTCCTGCTCTTCCTCCCTGCTCTGTTCTTAGTTGCTCTCATTATATCAAAGAAGACATTTGGCATTTGTTTTTTAGGGATTGGCTAGCTTCACTTAGCATAATCTGCTCTAATGCCATCCATTTCCCTGCAAATTCCATGATTTTGTCATTTTTCAGTGCTGGGTAATACTCCATTGTGTATAAATGGCACATTTTTTTTTTATCCATTCATCTATTGAAGGGCATCTGGGTTGGTTCCACAGTCTAGCTATTGTGAATTGTGCTGCTATGAACATTGATGTGGCAGTATCCCTGTAGTATGCTCTTTTAAGGTCTTCAGGGAATAGTCCGAGAAGGGCAAGAGCTGGGTCAAATGGTGGTTCCATTCCCAGACTAAAAGCTATTTTTAAAAAGAGAAAAAGCTTTACAAGTGTTCATACTCTTACACCCAATTAATTCTCATTTGGAAACTTTCTATAGAGGGTATATCTTAGATTTGGCACAATAGGGTATGAACAGAGATGTTAAGTGTTGAGATAAATTGAGATGTTTTTAAAAAGGAATATTTAAGTAAATGGTGGGAATCCAGTCAATACAATTTTAAGCTTAAAATTATGAAGTATTATAATTATGAAAATTACATAGGAACAGGGAAAATGCTTGTGGTGTGCTTTTTAAAGACAGCTTGAGCATGATTACAGCCACATAAAAATATTTTAAAATATTGGAAGGAAATAAATACATCAAGGTGTCTTTTCCTTGCCTCCCCGCCCTCCCAGTTTCTGAATTTTTGCAATGTACCTTACTGCAGAGTACCTACTGCAGTGTACCTTACTGCAGTGTACCTTACTGCAATGTACCTACTGCAGTGTACCTTATTGCAGTGTGCCTTACTGCAATGTACCTTACTGCAGTGTACCTACTGTAGTGCACCTTATTGCAGTGTACCTTACTTCAGTGTACCTTACTACAGTGTTCCTTACTGCAGTGTACCTACTGTAGTGCACCTTATTGCAGTGTATCTTATTGCAGTGTACCTACTGCAGTATACCTTACTGCAATGACATGCTTTTTACAAGTAGAATTTAACAATAAACTTGTGTTCTCTCCTGAGAGAGGTGTTGCATTGCTGCACTCTTCCAGGCTTGGCCCC